GCGTTTGAGACTGTGAATTTTTTATGGAAATGATCCCCTGTTCAAGGAGGAGGAGAAATGTAAAGATCGAAATCCTCGTTCAAGACCAGAAGTTGTTTGAGGAGAGTGTGGCTGGCAGGGCCTTTGCTCACTTTTGGAAGAAGCAGCTGAAGAAGGAACGGGAGATAAACCTTTATGAAACTGACAACCCAGATCCTAGGACCTTTCCCCATTCTTCGGGCCTTTTGAAAAGCTGTAGGAGGCTGTTTTGCCCTCAATATTTGGGACGGAGTAAGGCTGTGACAGCAGGATTGGAGGGGTGTGTGTGTGTGTGTGTGTGTGTGTGTGTGTTTCAGGCGCCAGATTCTTTGCTTCTCTTGCTTTTGGTTCGTCCTCCCTTGTGAGCCGGAGGGACAAAAGGAGGTGACTCAGGCATTAACCACAACTCTTCCATCAACCTTAAGCTAACAGACAACTCGGGAACAACTTCAGCACCACTCCCTGTCGGACAGCTACTTCGACCCGAGCTGTCAGTCGGGACAACCAATCAGCTCTTCGCAATCCCCCTCTTGCCGCCTTGCGCGTCTTAGCCAATGAGCGCCGTCCTACATCAGAAAGCGTTTCACAGGTCGTAAGTCGAGGATTTAGCAGTTTGTATTGTTTTGAGCCCCTGTAACTACGTACAGCTCATCCTCAATTTATGGCCATCTGCCCATTATGGATCGTAGACACGAAGGACCTCTTTTGGCTGTGGTCTGTCATTACTTCAAATGGTTGCAGCTGGATAGCTGCCTGTGGTGAGCCCCCATGGCTGCCTCTGCCCTCCAGCTGTGCCTGATGAGCTCTGGGCTGAAAGAGGGGACTGACCCAAACTCAGCCTCTCCCACTTGAGCTGAGAAGGGAAGGAAGGACAGAGAATCCCACACAGGAGGGGCCACAAATAATGAAACCCCCTTTGTTGGCAGGAGGAGCTGAAGGCTCACAGAGGCACATGGGGGGAGGGGGATTAGCAGCATGAAATAGCAGAAGGACCCCATTTTCCTATTTTCAGTTGACCTTCCCTGTAGCCTAGGACAGTGTTTTTCAACCTTTTTTGTGCAAAGGCACACTTTTTTCATGAAAAAAATCACGAGGCACACCACCATTAGAAAATGTTTAAAAAATTTAACTCTGTGCCTATATTGACTATATATAAAGTAATTTTCCCATGGCACACCTTACATTATGTCACGGCACACTAGTGTGCCGTGGCACAGTGGTTGAAAAACACTGGCCTAGGACAAGTATGACCCCTCAGCAGCTGATAGGGGAAAGAGGCCTGGAAACACTGCTGAGTAGAATTTTGTAATATATTTATTTATATCCTGCCTTTATTGCTTTTGCCAATTACTCAAGGTAAGAAACATAACCCACATATCTTCCTCCTGGTATTTTCCTCACAACAACCCTGTGAGGCGGGTTAGACTGAGTTACTGGTCAAGGTCACCCCAGCTGGCTTTCATGGCCCAGGAAGGACTTGAATTCGGTCTCCAGCTTTCTAGCCTAGGGCCCTAACCACTAGGCCAGACTGGTTCGCCCAGATTAGATCAGAGGAGTTATTTGGGACTGGACTTATTTATTCATTTTATTTATGGTTAAAAACAGGACTGTACTGGGACAACCTCACATTAACTGAATTTGGGGACACACAAAACAGCTTGGTGTCAGCTTGCAATTCACAGTAAATTGAATATTGAGCAATATTGTCAAACATATTACTGTGTAGTGGGCTTCAGTAGGCAAGAACTGACCAGCGTAGATACAACAGCATTTATTGACTCAAAACTGGAACTGAGGAACTTCAGGCAAATCCCTGTAATTTATACTCTGGGCCCACAGGGCCTTCACCAATCATAATACTTGAAAAAGCCGGCCCAAATGTGAATGTTCAAAGTTTCCCTCCAAAAGTGTTGCAGTTAACAGTTAGGGCCATCTAAAGGTTAGTTTCACTTTAGCAGGGCTTGACACAACTTATATATTCAATACATAACACCTAGAATGCTGACTCTACTAGAAACACCCAGGGGCTGAGAAGGATGTTTCTTCAAGCATCCAAGAAACTTGCTTGCTCCACTGCGGAAGCTTATGATGGATGCTTGAAAAAGGAGACTGGGTGGGAACACCTGCATTGTTTTCTATGGGGATTGTGTCTGTGTTTCATCTCTTATTCGGTTGGAACTAACCTCTAAGCTTCACTTCAAAATGCTGGTGATCCGCAACTCCTTTTTTGGCAGCTGCTAGACGTCTTTGTTGGTGTTCCCTCTTAACTGGATGATAGGAGTATACGTAACAATATTCCTACCTCTATTCTAGGTCTTGATAGCATGTATCTTATACTGAATATTCTATTTCTACCCATTATCTCTCATTCATTTTGGTACTTCAATTCTTATTGAATTTTTAGCATGCTTTCCGTACTCCTCCTCTGAAATTTTATGTCTCCCTGTCATTATTATTTCTTGATCTAAGTGTTCCCTCGTCTACCTCTGCTTTTTGCTGCCAAATCTTCTAGACTCTCATCTATATCATACATCAAATCCTTTATCTCCCTGTGGCTCTTTGTTATGGTTTTATAGATATTTTGAAACATCAATGACATTTCTTTTTGATGTAAACTTGTTATTTCCTGTTGAAGCATCTTACCTTATTTTAATAAGTCCAGAAATTACTCCAAACCTATCAAAATCCCACACTCTTAATTGTCTGTAAAATCAAAAAGGCAGTCTTAAAACTATTCACTCAGTCCCAGAGTCATTCTTCGAAGTACATGATATTTATAATTCTTTATAGTCCTCCACCAGTTAGTTTACTCCTTCCAGATTTTCCCTTGTGTTCGCCACCTAATGAGCTCTTTGATTCCAATAATAGTTCCAGGTCTTCGTCAACCACTCGCCTTAGCAACCTTCAAAAGTCTCAGAAATGTTGCGTCATGAAACTAATAGGTATCAGAATATACAGCAAAAAACAGAATCTTCCAGATGTGTTTACATCCATTCAGGGTTAAAGATTATTCCAAGGTCTTCCCAGCCTTATGAACATAAGTGTATTTCCTTTTTCACCGGTAGTTGGCATCACCACCTAGAATTTCAATGTGACACCCAATTTAACAGCCTTCCGATTCCTTCAAATAATTTTCCTTCACTTTTCCCAATAATCAGTCCAATGTTTCCAGCATTTTAAAATGCCTTTTCAAGATGTTGCCAATAAAACGTTCAAATCCAGTCATTCTATATTTTAAAAATGATATCCTCTCTTAAGTTTCATTTTCTTTCTGTAGTTTTCCTCTAGGTAATAGTTAGCTGCATTTCTTGTGACCTACGATGTGTATTCCATGTAAGATGTGGTCCAATTAATCACCAGTGTGTTAGGCACATGTAGGTAGCCACCAATGATCTGCCTTTAAGAACAGGGGTCCATCCAAATCTCCAGGACATTTTTCCTCTGAAAATTCATCCAAAATCTACTCCTTTCAATTCAATCCCAAAGTCCAAGCTGTCCAGCAAGGAAGGATGGAGTCAAAAGAATCAAGATGGGGGCTGTTTTAAAGCGCATCAAATATACAACTAAAAAGCAGCAGCACTTTGATTGCAAAGCATGGCACAATCTATCGGCCATCTTGACTTTTTTGAACTCCCAAACTGCCCTGAGAACACTCCTCTTGATTATTTTGAACAATAATTATATGAAGAATTATATTTACAAATCAAAGAGACTTAATACAAACCTGTATGTGTGTGTATTTATTTATTTATTTATTTATTTGTCTTGTATGCCGCCCACTCCCGGAGGACTCCGGGGGCTCACAAAAGACAAGGGAAAAGGGGGAACGAGGCAAAGACAACATATTAAAAACAAAACCAACATTCACAATTTCCGTGGAGGTAGATGCTTTTCAGCTCCCCCCAGCCTGCTGCAACAGCCAGGAATTGGTGGCTTTGCGGAAGGCCAGGAGGATAGTAA